CTAACCGCCTCCCGGTTAGCTCAATGGATAGAGCGCTGGACTGTTGTGCGGGAGGTCGAGGGTTCGAGCCCCGGCCGGACCAACACTCAGGGTCTTAAAATAATTGAGAAGAATTTGCTACCTTTCTATAACATCAAGAAATGGTTAGATATTCTAGTCTTCTCGGATAGGGACGAATAAATGGAGGTCCCGTCTCCTGCAGGGTTGGGGTAGGAGACGTTAATTTCCCACACACGAGATTACTGTGTGATGGATGTCCTCCCCTGGGGTGGGATGGGTGGGATATAGGGCGCACTTAATTTGGAGCCTCGCTCTGTTGTGCGACTTTCACCACACTCTGGTGAAAGTGATTAAATAAATAAATAAATGCTTCTCATAAACTAGTCTGGAAGAATTGGCATACATAATGCTCTATAGTTAATCTAGCATCTGCCCTTCCTATCACCCATATCTTTCTCTTGTGTGACCTCCCCCTGTCCCCTTCCAAGTCGATCTTTTCCCTGAGGTTTAACAGGAAACTTTGTATTACGTTTATGGATCTAATTAGATGATAGAATCACCAGCCTTTTAGAAGTGCCTGAAAAAAAAATAAGTGAAGACAAAGTAAAGCAGAATTTGATCAAGAATGTCTCTCTAAATTTATTGTAGGAATGCGAGCAACAACCAAATCTCTGCTATATCAACTGGGGCATTCTCCAACTTGATTCACCTTAAAGTTCTGTAAGTATATATAGAGTTTTTCGTTTTGATTGCCCCCTTTTTAAAGCTGTAAATCATTTAGTGGTATGCAGCATCTAATGCCAAAGTGGAGAAAAGTTTTTGCAAACACCCGGGCTGTAATTACAAAATGAAGTGACTAGGCCTTCTTGCAGTAATGTTCACTAAAAGAGGATGAGAAAAATACCCAGGGCTTTAGACACAGAATACTTTTGAAAGACACTAAAACTGCCACCAGGTATCTTTGTATCCACTGAAGGTGAGGAAGTAACTGAAGAATTCAAAGGTCTGTTGAAGAAGATGTGTCTGTTTGGTAGAACTCTGTTTAATATTCAGTAGAAACTACATTTGTCATTACTAATCAAGCATACACAATAAAAACTGTATGCAGCAGTTTTGATGTAAGTTTTTGGATAGTGAAGTCTTTTAAAGTGTAATCTTTAGAAAAAATTTTCAAAAATTCAAGTAAGTGACCACCTCCATAGATTCTTTGACAGTTTTGTGAGGCATACATGTAGCCATAGTCCCTTATGGGTGCCATCCCTTCTGCTAGAAATGAATAACATAACTAATTATACAACCTCTTCCTTGTAGTGAGTTACATGTGAATCACCTGGAAACCATTGCAACTAAGGTGTTCTATCAAATACCAGAGCTGCTACATCTGTAAGTGTTCATAACCAAAGACAAATTTTTGTACAGAGACCACATTCTTTCTACTTTATTTGGAAAACTCCCACTTTTGGAGAATATTTCTAATGTGCTGTTTTTGCTCAATGTTCACCATTTTATGCCACTCTTTTGTTAGAGGACAATCATATTTTCTCTGCTTCACAGCTGTTTTTAACATATCCATTTGAAAATTTTTGTGTATATCTACTGCTTTTTTGCATTAAAGTGTGAAACCCTTTTCATGGGGGCACAATAACTCACTGGAGTGCTTTGACATCTTTATGTGGGGTTTACTTCGGTTCCTGATCTCAGATATGGGAAAAAGGACCTTCAAGATCTTCATTTTTTTAATCACCGTGGAGATCTTAACTACGGCATGTGGACACGCGATTTCTTATTTGTTTGCTGTTTTTGTAAGCGCCAGGCGCTCCCCGTGTGGGAGACTGGAACTAGATTAAAGTGTTGTGAGCACGTGGAATTAGGGAGTGCAAATCACTCTGGCTGGCGCTGCTACGGCTACCGGAAGTAAAATTGTCCAGAAACGAGTCATTGCGCATGTCAATGGTTCCCATCCAGCCGTAGCGGGAAATCCTTCTACGCGAGTGGGAAGGTTTCGGCGTAGTCTGTGGTACGTGAACTTATCTCGCTTCTTTCTTCGCTTTATACATTCTCCTGAGCAATTTTAACTATTGAAATACACTTAACATCTTTAAAAATAGCTTATCGGGAATATTTATCAAGCTTGCTGTCCCTTACCGAGTGAATCTGCCTTTATTTTTGCCGCCGGGTTTGTCGAAGGATCGAAGCAGTGTGCACATGGAGAACGCAGCGAACGCAAGGAGAAATGCGTAGGTAGAAAGTCTAACTTTTCCTTTTCAAACCTCAAAGACTACTTGAAATTCAAATAGCTGAAGCCGAGGAATGACGAGGGTTATGAGGGACCGTGTAGAAACTTTGCNTTTGCTTCGTTTGAGAAAGAAATGATGTTTGGGAGACATTGTTGGCAACATGAGAGTTTGGAAAAGTGTCGCCAGAGGTGAGTATTACGGTCTTAGTTTGTTTTGTAATCAAAACGGCACCTTTCTTGCGCCAGTCGTAAGTTAATAGGGAGTTTAAGCAAATCACTCCGGCTGGCGCTGCTACGGCTACCGGAAGTAAAATTGTCCAGAAACGAGTCATTGCGCATGTCAGTGGTTCCCATCCAGCCGTAGCGGGAAATCCTTCTACGCGAGTGGGAAGGTTTCGGCGTAGTCTGTGGTACGTGAACTTATCTCGCTTCTTTCTTCGCTTTATACATTCTCCTGAGCAATTTTAACTATTGAAATACACTTAACATCTTTAAAAATAGCTTATCGGGAATATTTATCAAGCTTGCTGTCCCTTACCGAGTGAATCTGCCTTTATTTTTGCCGCCGGGTTTGTCGAAGGATCGAAGCAGTGTGCACATGGAGAACGCAGCGAACGCAAGGAGAAATGCGTAGGTAGAAAGTCTAACTTTTCCTTTTCAAACCTCAAAGACTACTTGAAATTCAAATAGCTGAAGCCGAGGAATGACGAGGGTTATGAGGGACCGTGTAGAAACTTTGCTTTGGTGTTTATAAGCTCCAAACTGGCAATTTTACAACACGTAAGCTTAAATATTTTAATTCACTCATTCACTGTGCACAGGATCGCTTACAATTTTTTTTCCAAACGTTAGAATCCCTCGTCCCTTTGAACGAAGTCATTTTGAGTTTTTAGACGTGCAAAAACTACCGCGAAGACGCTTAATTTATTAGTGTGAAACTTCTCAGCCGTACTAGGTTTGTAGTTCGCGTTCTTAAAATTGAATTTTGGCGTGCTACAGCGACGTACTCTCCCCAAGCCTCGTCAACCCCGATAGCCGTAGCAGCGCCAGCCGTAGTGATCTGCTTAAACTCCCTATTATAATGTCTGAAGTGTTTTTCTAAAACCGGGACTTAAAGAATTTCCCACGCCTAGGAATCTCCAGCATGTGTGCATAGATCTTCCCCGAGGCACGTGCCAACAGCACTTGTAGCGTGCTGGCTTTGGTTTTTTTTTTATCTGAAGGGGTGTGGACATCTCTGGTATATCCTGACAAATTTGTGAGATCTGATCGCAAGTTTTAAGTTAGCTCATTGGTAGCAAAATAATTAAGAGGAAAGTCATGCAGTCTATGTTTTTTGTTGCACTTGATTCTTTGCAGTGATCTTAGAGGGAACAGACTCAAAACTATTACAGCTGAAGGCTACAGCAGTCCATTTGATAGTCTTCCAAAACTAAAAGTGTTGTAAGTAGACTTGACTTGAAATTAAGAGGTGACACATTGATGTCACAACGCATTGTCGAGGCAATACAAAGACTAAACATTTCCAGCACCATGAGGATAATAATTCTAATTTGTTGAACTACAAAATTTTGCACTAAATTGTTTCTTGTCTATGACACATAAACCTTGACCATGGTGGAAAGATGATACCTAAATGTTGGTTTTTGACACCAAAGTAGCTTTTACTTGTTTGTGAATATCAAAACCTGCCTTTCCTTTGTCACAGTCTCTGCATCGTACACAGACTGTAGCAGTGCTGTTGATGCATTTACATTTGAGTTGTGAATTCCTAACAGGGGGTGAAAGATGCCTTCAGGTAAAAATTCAGGCAGGTTTCAAAAATCTCTGTGGGAAAATTAAGGTCATATTCCTTAAGAGTAATTTTAAAGAACTTTAATTCACAACTGGTCACTGTGTGCTTCATTATATTTCAGAATTTTAATGCAACAGCAAAGTTCCTACCAAACAGAACGTGTTATGTTTAATGCCTTCAAGGACCTCCCTGCTCTGGAAGATCTGTAAGTTGAGTGAAAAAATTAAGTACTACTTCACACTTACACAAAGATTTGATTGAACTTTAAAAGTGCAAATGCTGAGATTTTACATTATGTAACACCTACAAGACAGTTTATATAAAATACCAAACTTTATGCTACGTGTTATATACTTATATAAATTTTGGTTCAATTTATTTTATTTTTGTCACCTTTTATTTTTGGAAAATACCATAAAAGTGAGGAAAAAATGAAAAGCGATACACCCTGTACTTGTGAAAAGCTCACATCCCACTGAGTGACACTTATAAGCTACCATTTTGATTCATATATATTATATCTTATTTGAATATTTCAGATGGTTGAATGACAACCTTTTGACAAATTTTCCCCATCCAGCTTTGTCGCAAACATCACAACCACTACCATCCCTTATATATTTGTAAGTACCATGTTTTTCAATTTATATCTATGTTGTTTCGTATAATTTATCACAGCGTAAAGATGGCACTTAAATTAGAGTGTCTTTCCATGCACAACGGCGAATGCTTACATGTGGCTCTCTGAATATAGCTGATCTAACCTAGGGTGATTCATTGGCAAGTCATAAGTGAGAGTAATTTGTCTAGCCATGGTTGGTGGAACTCCAATGTGGAGGGTAAAATCGTTCTATATTGACAGGCGGAAGATGTTATTATCTGTATGGATGTCTTCGTCCATTCTTATGTCAACTTCAAGTCCATATCTAAAACTAGGTCCAGTTCAGTAGTTCTGTGACCGTGCTTGAGCTTGAACCAGAACCCTTTGACCTGTAGTATATTGCTTTTTCTACTGCTATATCGTCATTCAGACATGTCCACCCCTACATGAATGTGTGAATTCATGGTCATATTGGTCTCCATCTCTTTAACCGTGTCAACAGTCGAGTCCACATAATGTTCATGGTTATGTCCTTAATGATCTCCATATCATTATCCACATTGATATTTATGGCCAATTAGTCAGATCCACTTTCAATTTTAGTTTTAATTTTCTTTTTCACATTTCATTTGTTTTAAGGCATCTGGAAAACAATAACATCAACTCATTGTCAAGTTTTTCTAGTACAGATTTTTCACCATTTCTTGAAGACTTACATGTGTAAGTATCATCGTTAGTAATGAACCATGGGTAATTAGCTAACAGATTCCATCTTGCTGTGCGTCTGCTCAGCAATTGATCCCAGATGACATCAAAATCTACTTTTTATATGTGATAAAAAGAAAGAAGTTGTTTACAGTGACATCATATTATGCATCTGTCCTCCAATAGTTCATAATTCAGCTTGTCCTATAAATTTTCAATAATTTTTTTTTACCATTTATGTTGGTCTGTTTGTCTTCTTGATGGCCTTATAAGGTATACACTAAGATAATTTTGGCTTTGTCAACTGAGTTGAGAATGTAAATTGGTCATGATCACCTTTAAGAGTTTCAAAGTTGACGTTTTGAGTGTTAGCCCCTTGTCATACGCTCTGACGAATGGCTGAAGCTTGAAATGTCAGCTTTGAGACTCTTTATGGTAGCCAAATTATATTATCAACTCAGTTGACAAGCCAAAATTACCATGTCACTCATACCAANCTGTMTTATAATCTGGCCGAATTTCAATTTTACATTACACTTCATGTTTGCTAGAGGTCATGTAAAACATGCCGCCTTTTATTTCTTGCCCTCAGAGCTGGGAAGTTTGATGGCTTAGACATTCCCATGATCTGACAGTAGGGATTACTTTGTTGTTTTGGTGAGAAACTGTCGGTCAAACCATATTGATATTCACTAGAACTTCACTTCATGAAATGAGGGAATTGCCCATGTATTGAAAATCCACTTTTATTTCGAAGCCCTTGCACTTTTAAAGTGGTAATTTAACTCGTAGGCGAACTCTGGAAAGAAGGACAATCTAATATATATATATATCGGTTTTAATAGGTTTTATAACGATGATGTTAGTTTTTAGTTATAATGTTAGATTTTGCTTCTATTTTATCCACTGATTAGCTCATGGGCTATGCTGCGGCGCCTCATGTTGCTTTTATTGTATATGGCATACAGACGTTTTTACTGCATAATAATAAATAATAATAATAATAGTAATGATAATAATAATAATAATAATAACGGTTTATTGCAGTTTATCTACAGAGTAGAGAGCCTGGCGAGGGTCATGATAGGAGGAGCCAGGGGGTGTTGCCGTACATTTCACACCTGGAGTCGATGGAAAAATCTGCAATTACACTCCTAACAATTATTTTCATTGCAGATTTCTTCACTACAATCAAATACCAAGCATTGAAGAGGAAGATCTGTGGTACCTAATTAATGTTCAGCAGCTGTAAGTGGATGGACACTAATGTAGTGACTCGTATAACTTTACTACACAAGTATTCTGAGAAATGTTTAGTTTCTTTTAACAGAGACATAACTTGCTTAGGTGAACTTTTTATGTCTGTTTGCAGCTACCTGTCGCACAATCAGCTCTCTAATTCTACAGTACACGCTGAAGCATTCAGGAATCTAACCAGTTTAACAAGACTGTAAGAAAAATACTTGTTGTAAACTATGATTTGTCCGTGCAGTGTTTTGCATCTTCATTCTAGCTCATAAGAGATTGGATTTCTGATACAGAATATGAATATTAGTTACAACCAGAGAGGCGACACACATAAGGGCTTTTCTATATTCTTCAATATTTTAATTACAATCAAGTAACTAGGTGATAGGTGACAGAAGACAACAAAAGTTAACAACATTTGGACGTCATCTGTGAGCTATATATGAACAGACGCACGACATTATGGAACATATTTTTTCAGTAGATAAAAAGAGGAAACTTATTTTGGTGTAAAACAGACATGGCCATCTCAATGCTCATATTATCTGTTATTATTTCAGGGATTTAGACAGTAACAGGTTCCATTATGTTCCAACCGCTGTCCAAGGAAAAAGTCATCTTCCAATCATCAATTACTTGTACGTAACTCAATCAACCGTGTAATTTGCTGTTCAGTTTGAAAGCAATTTGAGGCTGCACTGGTTTGACACCTCCACACCTGTGATTTCCTGTCACCAAACGATCAGATTTGGAATGAATACAGCTATACCTGCTCAATTTTACGTTTAATGAATTTACTAGTTCTCTTAGACCCTTTGAGAGGTTATCGCAAATAAACTTATTGACTGCTGTGATGGCTTCTGTTTTGGTCACTCGAAATCGAAAAGTGGTGGAATTATTTGAAGCTTTTAACTGTATCAGCGACGTTTAAGTCTAAGTTTAACGGACTCTTGGACAGCAGTATCAATGTTGTGTTATTTAAAATAAGAAGGAAGTGAAAACATACGAAAAGTAATAATTGATAAAAACATAAGGAGAAAAGAAAGTAAGAGAACACCAAATACAAACAAAAACAGACAACAAAAACTGAAAAAAGGTTAAACAAAACAAACATAACAGAAATATAATCAGGTTCAATGTTAATTTAACAGCTAAAACTGTATTTTTTTTTTTCAGTTGCCCATCTGTTAAGGTCATTTCGTTTTTTTAAAGTTATAGTATATGACAAGTGAGACATACAATTTTGATGTGTTGTTACAAGAAACGCAGATATGCCAGTATTTCGTATTGGTGTTGGAAACCTGGAATGTCATAGAAACCTTGAACATAAGTTAAGGGAACATGCTAACTTGTTATCCATTTGTTTTTACTCTATCAGACGTTTGTACTCCAACTCACTCACTTACATCCTTGAAGGAACTTTTGCCGATCTTGATACATTACATTCCCTGTAAGTATGATGTATTCATGATCTTTGATATACTCCTTAAATAATTCGTGTAAAAGCAAAAGGGATCATTCTTTCTGTCACAGAAACTCGATTTACATGCAAAAGAATTGTCTGAGTTGTTTCATATGCCACATGTTTAGTAGGAGTGATTAAAAGGACAAAAGATAAACTTAGCTTCGATTTTTTGCGCCTCGGGTTCTCTCGTGACTTTTCCCTCTTCGGACTCTTATTTCTTAACGTTTAAAGAAATCTGCCAGCAATTTCCTTCTGTTCTGTAGTGCAAGACGCGATGTAAACAGAGATGCAAATCGAAATCCCGGACTAAAGCCCGCTTAAAAAGTCAACACTCTACTCGGGCCTTTAAGATTATAAATAAAGGTTGAAAGTTTCTTAAGAAACTGTGGTGCTGCGTTGGTGAGGGTAACAAGGTAATTTGGTAATATTAACCAAGTTGAAATTGTAAATTGGCCACCGTAACGAGTTAAGAAACTGACGTCTCGAGCGTTAGCCCTTCTTCAGAGCACAGGGCTCCCTATAAGTATGATGTATTCATACTTACAGGGAGCCTTGCGCTCTGACAAAGGGCTAACGCTCGAAACGTCATTTCTTAACTCGTTACGGTGGCCAATTTACAATTCCAACCTAGTTGATACGACCAAATTACCTTTCGATTATGACAAGTTTCGCTCTCGGCACTAGTTCCCTAACACATTCTTTCATCCTTATCTCGCGTTCTTTTTGAGATTTTACATTTTTCCCGGCAAATTAAACTTAACTCCTTTCTCTAACTGTTAGTAAAGAGCGAAATACCAAATTTTGACGTTTTTGACCAGAATTAGTTAGTGAGTGGATCTCTATCAAACCTCATTAACACTTGACTGTCAACCTGAAACAAAGATGAGAGAACAAAATCAACCAAAACAGCACCAGCGAAAGTGAATCAAACCTTCTTTCCACCTGAAATAAAATAGTAATAATAATGAAAAATAAGTAGGAGGAAGAAATCTGAAATGAAACTGAGGTATTAGTATCCAAGCAAAACGAAACAAACTGTGTGCCCTAGTGGATTGTGAAACGGTTTAATGTTGTTGTTATTTGTTCTCTTCCGGTAGTTATCTTTATTATAATGACATTATTGTTGTGGAGAATGGTGCCTTTCCTTCTGGTATAAGAACTATGTAAGTATGTTTTGCATGAAGGAATACTTTGTTGTCAATTTGTCATTCTTTACTCAGTGACTGCTGTACGTTTTGTGAGTCTTAGTCAGTGACAGCCGTTTCAGAAATTATGTGTCTTATTTTGATTAAAAAAAACATTTAAAGGATCTTAAAGTCGATAAGCTAACCACAATTTTTCATTTTCGATCCTCTTATTGACAATAGCTGATGCTATCAAGCAATCGGGCTGCAAAATAATTTAATAGTTGTTGACGATTGATTTTCAACAATCGGGACTCGAGGATCGCTGAAAGTTTCACTGATTGGATTGTAGTGCGTAGACTTTGTACCCTTAATCAAGTGCATATTCTTTGCTAAATCGAGGACATGTAACTATCACATTGCTCAGAGCCTCGTCACGAAAGACAACAGCAGCCATAATCAACTCTTGAATAAAATTGTGATCAAGATATAACTCGTTCAGCGCTTATTTCCTCAACTTACCATCACCACCGTTCATAGTGGCACTTGTGGTTTGAATCTCCCATTTCTTATTCCACAGTTCCATGAATAACAACAAGTTCAACTTCAAGCACGAGAATCCGTTTTCTAATCTATCACTTACCTCTCTGTAAGTATATACAGTTTTAAGTCCCAAACAGTGTACTTATATTAATTAGTTCCTTCTTTCTTCCGTTTGTTTCATTAATACTGCTTTAATTACTTATTGTTAATCGATAGTCAGTATGTAGAGCTCCCACCTAACTATTAGTGTTTACCAGGTCCCCACTCCACATTTCTGAAAGTGTTATGCGTTATTAACCATTCCTGCTTTGCAGCTATGATCATGTGGGTCTTTAGAACTAAGTTTCATGTGAAGCTTAAGACATGTAAGGTTTGTGTAGAGAGACAGGGATGGATGTTTCTCGCAGTCACTGTTATG